AACTGTTTGAAATATATTTTGGTTAAATAATACTACATCAAAAATGTTACTCAAAATTATTTTTCAAAGTTTTGCGCAAACATTTGGATTTTTTATCACCAAAATACAAAGTTCCTTCATATTTTTCAAATGGTCGGAATAAAAGAAACAAAAACCGAACAAGCCACCAGACATAAAACATGTGTTTAAAAAGGAAACGTAGACGAATTTAGAAGTTGAAATCAATTGTTTTATGCAAAATTTGAATCGAATATCATAACGAAATTTCAAATATGGAATGACAAAACTGAGCTAAAGAGAAAATAACTCGGTATCTACATTATTGAAAACTTTTCGACCTGGCTATTTATAAAGGCGAACAAAGATCAGAAAATTTAGAACCGAACGCTTTTATGCTCAAAATGGTTATCAAATAGCTTAGTCTCGTTTAATGTCTAAAAAGCTAGTTTAAAGATTTCAAGCGACCAAGACCCCAATAGACCAAGTGAATGCCCCCATATCCAAATTAAACACAAAAATAACCATTTATTGGAAAACTAGTCGTTTTTGCCTGAACTTTTTTTAATCCTTCGAAAGGTATTGGTGTCGCGAGCTCAAAATTAAAAAGATATTTTACCTCTGATCAATTTTCATAAAGTAGCAGGGGTTTATAGCTGGCCAATTTGGGACAATTAAGACGCAGAATTAAACCAGAACTAGTGCGTAAGCGGCGATATACGCGGTCAAATACAATGCTGATTTAAATCATCCGGACAAAGGAAACAAAGTTAGGCATTCATGATAAGGCAAAAAGTGAAGATATCAAAATTTGCTTAGAATTTACTCAGAATTAATATGGTGCAATACTTTTCCGAATTCTTAACTAAAATTGTAATAAAAAATGAGCCTTCTTGGTTTTGTAATGAATCCAGAATTACGCTGAAAATACCAAGTTAATTGATGAGAAAACTATATCAAAAAAAGCTTCCTACACAGCGCGACAAAGTTCTAAAAAGGTAGAAATTATTTGAAATATTTTTTTGATTGATAGCCATAAAAGGTCAATTTTACTACATCAAAAAATTTGCTCAAAATTAAATTTCAAACGTTTTGCGCAAACATTTGTTTTTTTAATCTTTCTAAAACTTTGACGCGCTGTGTAAGAGGCTTTTTTTAATATAGTTTTATCATTAATTAACTTGTTAGTTGCAGGGCAATTCTTGATTATTTAAAAAAACCAAAATGGCACATTTTAAGGGTAAAATTTTGGTTTAGAATTTCGAAAACTTGTATCATACGTATTTTAATTAATTTTAAGAAAACTTTGTTCTCGTGGGTCAAATGGGTGACAATCAAAGGTCTACCATTTTCTTTCGTAGAAGACGAGTCCACTCGACAGTTTTCCAAATTGGAGCCCATTTCTAAAGAGTCTACTATCTTACATGGAGAAAATCAGTTTCTGTGGAACAATCTATCAAAGCCGAGCTGCCTTCGAAATTTGGCATTGTTATTGACGGTTGGTCGGACATGGCAACTTCAACACACTACTTGGCAATATTTGGGTGTTACCCAGACCCAAAAAACTCAAAACTGGCAAAGGCACCATTACTTGCTTTTTCACCTCTGCAGGACGAGGAACGGTATGACGCAAATTCTCACTGCACTTTCATATCAGAAACTTTGAAGCTGTTTGGGAAAAACGAGACAAGTCTGTCATTCATGGTATCAGATAACGAAAATCTGAACAGAGCTATCGCTTCAAATCTTGGAGTTTTTATGATCGGATGCGACTCTCACAGACTCCACCTGGCCGTCAAAAATTTTTTGCGTCTGGAGAATTACGAAGAACTACTACAAAAAATGAATGCTGTGATGAAAAAATTTGCAACTTTGAAGAAATCTGGCAAACTTCGCAAAAAGACAGATTTGAGACCAAAATCAGAAACGATACAAGGTGGTCATCAACATATTCAATGTTGAAACGATAATTTGAGTTGCAGAATTTTCTTGACCTGACCGACAGAGATACTGCCGATCTGCTTCCTGGTCCATCAGAAAACTTCAAACTTCGTGAGTGCCTGGAACACCTCCAAAAATTCGAGTCAGTTTCGAAAAAACTCCAGAAAACAACTTGTACCAAAAAAGAATCGCGCATTCTTTTTGACGCTCTTCTGTCAGAGTTCCCCAGGGGGTTATTGAATGTCCTACTTTTGAAAGAGCTGTTTATAAGTTACAGATGAACAAGACATTGACATCTTTGGAAAAAGAAGTTTTACAGAGTGCATTCTTGGATGTCGAAATTACAACAGTTGAATCATCTACGTCTTCCCAGGACTAAGCTGAAGAAATCCTTGCAAAAAAACTGCGTTCCTCTCACGATTCTGTGATTCAATGTTTGGATTGGCTTCCTGTCACTTCAAATATTGCCGAGAGACTTTTCAGTCAGACTAAGCACGTGTTTTCACAATACAGAAAAAGACTTTTGCCGAGACACCTCGAAATGCAGCTTTTCTTGATGATAAACGAGAGTTTTTGGAGTGTTGAGACTGTTTCAAAAAAAATTTAAAGAAAAATACAATAATTGTTAGATTTATAGCAATAGTTAGCAATAATTTCAATAATTGCAATGATTAATTGTTAATTTACGTCTTACAGAAATTATTTATTGTCTCTGAGCAATAGTATTGCAATACAATATTTCAAACCCCTGGTCTAAATACTTTGTGCGAGTTATGCAGCAATAACTATATCCTTGTTCAAACTTATTTTCTTCCATTGCTGGAACACAAATTGCAAAAGAAAAAGAAGAACTGTTAGTTTGGAATCGATTCAGACTATAAAAAACTCGTTATAGAAAGGCGATTCCCGCATTTAGGGTTCTTCTGGTTTAAAAAAATTATACCCGCTTAAGCAACTAACTTTATGCTCTGCAAAATTTCGTCGGGATCAACAGTACAAGTCCCCCTCCCCAATCGATTTAGGGGGAAATTGCATGTAACGCACTTCCGGTGATTCTAACAGATGCATGAACGTGAAAATTACTGATAAGTATGAAACAAATTTAACAATGAATCTGACCGTGACAAAAGACGGAGGCGTCCAACAATGCTTACTATTTCACAAAATGAACATTGAAAACAATTTCAAAAAAATTCTTTGAAACTTTCTCTTAAGTTACTTTTAAAGTTTCTTTAAAATTTTGGAAAATATGTTTTTAACGAAATCAAACTCTTAAAAATTTCTGCAAAAGCATAGAAACATCATATACAGGAAAGCAAAATGCGTTAAGTAGTCATATTATGATTCCATAAATAAACTTCCTGTGAAAATGTTAGCAACACCCCATCATAGTGTTGAGAATTTCAAACCTTCTCTAGTTTTTTTAGATTACTTCAAGTTTTTTTAAAAGTTCTAAAAGATATTAAAAAAGTCGTCCCGGAAATTTAACGCATTGATCAGCCAAAATTGGAGGCAAGAATTGCAACTCATGAGAGTACCCCCGACAAACTTCAGGCTTGGGAAATTTAGCTTCTGTAAAGTTTTGAAAATCTATTTTCTGTAAATTTTTGAAAAAATCATTTAAAAAACCGGAAACTTAAGACATTAGAGATTTCATATTTCGTATGGCAATTTTTGCACCGCCTGGGATTACCCTGATAGCGCTTCAGTATAGGGATGGCAATTTCAAATTATTGAATTGTTTACATCTAAACTTTTTGAAAAATTTTGAAAAATCATAACGTCAAAACTCGAAAACTACATGGATTTGAGCAGTCATTTTGGATGCAACTTTCTCAACCCCTGATAGTACCCACACAGCACCCAATATTTAAAAAAACCATTTTTTTTTCTGAAAAATTTCCAGTTTTCGGAAAAATTTAAAACGATTTGGGTATTTATAATTGGAGGCCAATTTCGCAACCCATGGAGAAACGTGACAGCATCCCAAATTTGGGTTGCTAACTTCAAACTTGGTAAAATAAACACTAAACTCAAACACTTTCGTGTCTTGCGCAAAAATTCTTTTGTTATACATGCAAAAATTATACGTTGAAAAAGCTTAAACATGGCGTGATAGTCAAGCCCGTATTTACATATATAATAGGTAGAAATAACGTTGCCAATCGAAGATTGGAATAGGGTAATGAAAACAAGTAAACAAAAAAAACACTTAGATGAAAAAATCTCACCTTTCTAATTTCAAAGAAAAAAATAGATGCCCTTTAAACACTTTGAATTTCTAGAACGATTTATGATGGGCGCTTTTTTTATAACATTAATCCAACTTGAGAAAACTGGATCAACAGGTGAACTCTTATTCCGCAGGAAATCTAAAAATTAAATTCCTCTTTCGAAAGTAGAAATAGTTCACGAATTTTTGTGCCATTTGTACGTTCGTATTTGGAGAGTGCTACGTCACTTTCAGCAGATGAATTTCAATTGAACTCAAAAAGTGCATTATAGCTAAGTGCATCAATATTTCAAGACTTTGTCCTGAAAAAAAGCAAGACCTATATTAGAGTTTTCACTAACACATTCATTACTGTAAATCAATGTGTAAAAAGTCAAAAGAATTAAATTTTGCGCCTTTGTATTGAAATATAGTTTATACAGAGTTAATTTTCAGAATGTTTACATGCTTGGGGAGGAAATCTTAAGGTAGGTCTCTTACGGGGAGGGGTGTACTTTTGTCGAAATAAACACTCTTTCGTCGAAATAAAATATGGTTTTCGTCGAAATAATTAAGCCATATTTCCACCAGATGAATAAGAGGCCAAGCTGTGCTATAGAAAGCCACACAGATTTGCGCGTGTATGACCTTGGAATCTCGAGACAAGCCTTTAAATATTTCAAAATTTGTAACTGGAATACACATTCCAAATTGTTGCGAAATTCACAAACAAACACCTGGCAACGCATATTTTGTGTCGCGGAATCCACTATGAGAAAAAATGCATGTTCCGCATTTATCTCAACCGCTCAACTCACTTTTCGAGAATAGGCCTAAAGGTGACTTCAAATTTGAAGAGATTTATATGCCAGGTCATTACATAATTTTTACAAGTTTTTTTACAGCTATATACATTATTTTACAGTTTTATGATTGAATAATCAATTACATATTTTTACAATACAATTTTTTCGATAGATTTATGATCGGGCAACAAAGCAATGTTGATAAACGTGTCGAAATTTAAGCTAAACAAATATCATGTGAATCGACTTCAACTGCAGCACATTCGCCTCAAATGCATTTTAGTATGTTGCCTTTTTTGATCAATTAAAGTCTACAAAAGAGGAAGGGCGGATGATTGCAGTTTCTGGATAACTTCTTTGGTAGGTTTCGGGTACGTGGCGTTTTCTGACTTGAGGACATCGAAAGCCCAACACACACAGTACTCGAGTACATCATTTCCAAACTTGTCGTCGGTTGCCAAGACTGCTTCCCGCAACTCTTTTCCCGTTATTTCCCTAAAACCCAATCGGAATCCTCTTTAGTGACAGCCCATTCAACATTTTCAAACTCAAACCCCAATCGGCATTTTTTTGAAACTCAAACCTCTTATTTTTTTGAATACAACTGAATCCAAAACTAAGTACTAATATAAATTCACCAAAAATATTATATGATAATGAAATAGTATGATTTTGAGGAAGTAAATGATTCAGACGCTCAAGAGTGTTTACACCGATGTTCTTAAATATGTCTTTTCGGTTATTTCACCCAACAACTACAAAATCAATGCGTGAGCAAGAAATTAGATTTCAGATTTCCTTCGCATTTTTCCATTTCATTCAGTCAGAATCAATCATTATGATCTTATTTTCAAAATAGCAAAAACATCCTTAATTTGGGTCGTATAACAGAAAAACTCCTTAAATATTTTCAACTTCGCTAACCGAAGCCGACTGTTAACCATAACGCTAGCGATTTTTGTTTTTTGGGCTCACGTGATTCTAAGCGAAATACAATTTTTTGGTCCTTTCATCTGACAATTTTTTGATGAATTTGGTTGAAGCGCGTAAGTCACAACCACTAATGGGATGCTCGAAAACAATAGCTTTGCTGATGAGATGATCGAACACTAAATAGATATTTTTGTACTTTTTTTTTCATATATATGGCTAAATTATACAGCTGCAAGCGATTAAAAACTTTCACTTGAAGAAATAATGAAATTTGAAATTGTTTATATTCATGCGTACAGCTTATAATTACTACAGCGTTTCCAATCAAACTTAACAATCTGTGAATTATTAATTGATTAGTTTTCCATAGATTTCTGAGCGCGAATTATACATATTGGTCATGAGCTACACGAATGATAGGGAGTGATTTTTTGTCCTCTTACCATACAGCTCCACTCTCAGTTTCAGCCTCGTCGTCACTGATAAAAAATAATCAAAAGAAAATAACAGTTTCATGTAATGAAAATTGGCATGGGAACAAATAATCTATTCTGTAACAAGTAACAAAACCTTGCTACCATACATTTGCACTTCACGAGTTTCAGCGTAATAGTACGATTTTGGTAACTTCTGCCTAGCATCTCAGTGTTCGTTTTCTCCGAAGCTTTCAATAATTACGAGGCGAAGTTGCACTTCGCATACACTAGCAAAAATATGACCGATAACGCAACTGGGAAAAACTGAATGAGTAAATCTTTGAGTCTATAAAATTTCTTAAGTGACGCACGCCAATTATGACGCATTAGCAGTGCCAGTCAATTTGATGAAAAAATGAAATTTATAGAGCAGTCTATGGAGCAGTAATAACAAGAAAAAATTAAATGTAATAAATAAAATGAAATTTTTTCATTTAATTTGAGTTTTTATAAAATTCATCGCCCACACTCAATATTAAAAACAATGTGATAAATTTAGCTCCTAGTAACAAATCAATTATAGCAAATCAGCGTCCTTCAACCAATTTGGAACGATTTCCATTACGGATTAAACCTCCGCTTACGCGTTGATAGCGCGAAATAAATCGCGCGTTATTTGTCCCAAATTGGCCTTATTGGCAATCTTTAAACCCCCATAACTTTACGAAAAATGATCACAGGTGAAACATCCTTCCATATTTAAGCTCAGGACAACAATACTTTGTGAATGATATAAAAAAAAACCGTAAAAAATGGCTTGTTAAAAAGTCGAAACTTGTCTGAAGAAAAAAAACACCCCGAGCACAAATATTCCGCTACTTTTGTTACGAAAGTCAAAACAATAATGGTCTGTATGAATATCCTTAGAATTGGCTTTACTTAATAGCTGGTTATTGATCAGATTGAACAATTTCAAAATAAACACAATTTATCGCAACAATATTTGCGACTTAGGTTGGAAAAAAAGATAGTTCATACTATAACACAAGCATTGCTTGTGCAATCAAACAGAGCCAACAGAGGACTGAACAATTGCCAATGAACTCAAGGGAACCAAATGAATGATGAACTTTTTTGAACAATTTTCAAATTTCGATGACAAATATACATCGCGTAAATAAACTAGCGTGGTATATCGATATTAGACAAAACATGACAATTTCCTTACATACATGAGAGGAAAATCAAAAACAATCAACATAGAGGTAAGATGCACTTCGCATACAAAAGCAAAAGATTGATGGTTTAAGATTAAAAGTTTAATGAACAAAAGTTTAATAAACAAATGTCTAAATTTTCAGATTTTTTTCAAAAATTGTCTTCTTAAACGTCAGGCTTATTAACGAAGTGATATATTTCGAATCTAGCAACGTATTTGTTAGACCACATAGCTTGCCTCAAATGAATTTTTAATGATTTCTGAGCTAGACTAATAAGCCGTTCACGCGTTGATATGGCGAAACATTAGGCGCTTTAGTTATCCTAAATTGGCAATTTTCGATCCCCGTAAGTTTATGAAGGAAGATAGCTTACAAAATACCATCAAGTTTGATATCTTTCAGATTGGATGAAAAATTCCATGATCAACCGTGCATCCCATACCAAGTCGATTAAAATGATCTAATTCGAAAACAAAAACTAAGATTTTTATTATTATGGTTTCTTTAAACTAATCCTTATGAAAAAAATTTTGTGCAAAACGGTTGATTTAAATTCTCTAAACGCAAGTCAAACTTTGTCTGAATTTTTTTGACTGAGCACAAAAGTTTGTTTATTTTCTGCAAAAATTTGAACAATTAAAATATATATTTATTACAATATATACAATATATATTATTATTACAATATATTACAATATGTATTTATATATAATAAATAATATTTATTATTTATATATATTTTAGGGCTTGTTTATATGCACACACTGTATATATGCATAAAACTTTACACGGAAATACACAAGACTGCTCGTATCAGGGCGTAGACCTGAATGTTCCGACTGCCTTATAAGTACTATGAAGCACTGTTCGCTCTATAACAATTGATGAATTTTTCTAAAACAATTTTTTTTTAAATTTCAGATAATTAAAAAATCAAACAATGTAAAGTACAAAGTGATATAGATTTCGCTCCTAGTAACATAGCATTATAGCGAATAGCCTGAAAACAGGTGAAATATTTTATTAAACTCAGAAAACAATACCTTTTGAATGATATAAAAAAATTTGGTCAAAATGTCCAGTTAAAAAGTCGAAATTTTTCTGAAGTAAAAAAAAACTACCCCGAGCACAAATGTTCCGTCCGTCACTTTGTTCGAAAGTCGGAACAAAAACAAAATTGAGCTACCTAAACTGAAAGCAAATTTGTAACAGAAACTATCGTTCTAAAAATAATTCAATTGGTCTGAGTTAAAGAGCGATTTGACTTAGGTCTACTACTCACATGGCCCTGCCTGTCTTTTCGGAGAGAATGGCCTCTATCTGCTCCACCATCTCTGTCCTCTCCTTCGCGTCCTGCGTGAATAACAGTTCCAGCCACTCGCTCTGTTTGCCCTCATCTGACTAAAACACAACCGACAGATGTCACGTTTCATTACGGGCACAATCAGAAATAAAAACAATACCTCTCCAAAGATTCAACAACCAATTCGAAACTTAAGCTGGACAAAGATACTTTTTAGGCCAAACGAAACCGATTCAAGTTCGGAAGAAAATGTTTCTTTCACATTGAAACAAAAAACTCATTATATTGTCTTTTCTGTTTTGATTCTTGTTTACATACTTCGCCAAACAAGATGTGATTTAACACTATGCAGTACTTAATTATCATAAGAAGACTCAAACACAATATTGTCTGAAGAAAGTCTTCGTAAGATTAAACTTGGTCAAAGTCTTTGATAAATGTAATGAGGAACGCCATTTTTTTGCGTTGAAAACACTTTAGTCTGATTTAGATCACGATATGTTTTTATACTTAGGGTATACTTCTACAATATATAATATTTAGTCGTTGGCGTAGAGCAGGGTGTCGGGTATCCGAAGAAGCGGATTTGTGTTGCAGTGGTACCGACAAATTAACCGATTCGAGAAAAATGAAATTAGTTCTTTCAATTTGACTAAAACCAATTATACCATAACAAACATGACAACAAAAACAAGCTTTTTGTGAGCCGGTGTTACCATCTATAAAACGTACGTCTTGAAAGAGGTTGAAAAATGTGATCTGGTTCGGCTCTGTCGCCTCGCTGCTCTTGAGAGCCGACTCAACCAACTGGTTCACGTGGAAATCTCCCTTCTTGCTCATGTGTTTGGCCAGAGCTGCCTTCAACTGTTCGACTGTCACGAAAGTGTTGCCATCTGCTACCTTTTCCAGTTCCCGCTGAACCAGTGCACTCATACGTGCTAACTTGTGATAACTTTCCTCATCCGTTCGGCCTAAAATCACACACTAACATAGATGAACCATTACTGTGGTTTAGCAAAAACTTTGAGCTTTTTTAAATTTCTATCAAATTTTTCTCCATATGCCGTTCACAGGAACAATAATTTCCTCCGTTTTCCACCCTAGCTAGTTGATCATTCAAAAAAAATTTTCCGGAAAACATTTTCAATACTTTTTCTCTGAACACTTCTATCAGAGAATCAGTGATTTCTTGGAAGTTGTGTTAGTGTAGGTTTTATTGTCACGTTTGGTTAAACTTAGCATTCAGAAGTTCGAATTTATTCAAAAAAATGTTTTTTAAAATGTTTAAGACATATTCAATTTTTTAAATTATCGCAAGGGTGAATAAACTGAATTGTACTCTTTTGAGTCATATTAATAAATCAAGCCAATATCAATATATTCTTTTGTTTTGCCAATAACTTTTCGTTACCATATACTTGACACTTGATAACTATCATTGTAATGTTTCTCCACACATGTTTAATGAATTATTGTCGCAAAATCACTGCCTATTCTAATATTTGACCAAATTTTGAACACTTTTACACGAGGGGACTAAGAAATAAGCTGTTCAGCGCCCTTCAAAAATCGCGGTTGTGTCCTTGTTTTATCTGGTAGTGGTTGCACCCCAAAATCAACATGCAGTTTGTGGCTATTGTTCTTGACTGGAATACGTTTTAAGCTCCGAACATTGCAATATCATTACAAACGGTCATTTGCATTAGGGTTTTTTTATTTTACCCAGAAGAATGTCGTAAAACTGCTTGATCCTTGAGTCGAAAGAGAACCTCTGACACGCGTCATTGAGATTGTACGCGAACTCCATGCTTCCCTCTCCGTACTTTTCCTTCAGGAACTTCTCCAGGTAAGTCGACATCAATTGGTGAGTTCCCAGAGAAACCTAGAAAAAAAAAATTATTTACAAGAGCTCCATAAAGTTTTCGTAATACGCTTTGCATGAGCTGGCTTGGGAATTCTTTTTTTTCCGACACTGAAAAAGAAGAGCCTGAGCATTAAAAACACCAACATGAACATCAAAACTCATTATCTGTAAAATTTGTCTCAATTTACGTACTGTATGAGTAGAATTTATGTGGTACTCAATGCAATACATCTGTTATTTTTTGTGTTAACTAATTTGCTCATGCAAATGATTAACGCAGCAGCTTTTGAAAAATCCGGTAACAAAAACTAAATAGTCCCAAATGACCATATGAAAATAGACTAAAAGAATACGCAGGATATCTATCTGAGTGCATGATAATTTTGACTGTGAATGAGGACATTACCATAGATTGAGAACTCCTTTGTTCTTTCGCAAACTCCTTCAAAGCAACATTTTTCTACTGAATTATCAGACAACTGAATTTATGAGACATTTTGCCAACACAAATATTAAGGTGGAGATTTTAAAAATGAAAAAATATATAATTTTAAAATTTTACGTAATTCTCCTTTTCAAAAATTGTTATTCAGTAAGCTGTTTCTTTTACCATTTCCCATTAGCTAAAGTTTTATTTTTTTGAAAAATTTTTGGCAGCTTTCAGTAGCTTAAGTGGACTTTATATGAACACTTTTCCTCACAAACGATTTCTGCGACTTTGGACTAAACATCGAGCGTTACCTTTGAGTCTTCTGCTATCTTCATTTTCCAGAATTCCTTAATTAGTTTGGTCGTTTTCATCCTGTCTAACTTGAGGTTCTTGATCTGCCCATCAAATCGCAGATACACCGGCACAGACTCATCCGTTCCCTAAACAATCTTAGTAGAAGAAAAACAGGATCTTGTTAACTATCCCCCCCCCCCCCTCCTTTTGAACCTTGTTAATTATTTCCCCCTATGCATTTATTATTTTTGACAACCATTTCTGTACAAAACATGCATTTCAAAAATGTCAACAATTAAGTGGGTTTTCATTTTCGCGCGTTCGTATTTCTATTACTCTCTATTTATATAAAACCCACGTAAAAAATTTCAAATAAATATATTTTCTGAAAATTGTTTTAAGCTATTGAAAATGTGGCCGCCGAAGTTGAATTTCTGAAAACCGAAATGGGGGGGGGGGGGGGAATTGTTAACAAAATAATTTCACTGACATCAAACAAAACGTCAATGAAGTAAATTGATATCAAACATGATCAGTTGAGCTCCTATAGACCTACCCTGATCAATTCGAGACTCGAACACAACACCGACTATTTATTTAATTTAACAAAGCAATAACGAGAAAGTCCATTATTTAAAAAAATACTTTTACCGTTCCATCTCCGCCAACGACAATTTTTGCCCCTTAAAAACCTTTCCTTCGATCATACAATATGATTCTCGTGTGATGGCCTATTGGGGCTTCGAAGCTTTTCCAAATTTACTTACAAACCCATATTTTCCTAATTTAAGCTATGTTCCTGCTCGGCTTTTTTGAAGAGTGATAGATTTGTTTCAATAACATATTCTGCAGTTGTTGATTTTTGAAACAATGGTGACCTCAAAATTTTGCCAGACTTCTTCGAAGAAAGTTTGTCTTTTTTGTTAAAAATCCCCATCAAAGCTGTTCAAAAACAAAACACACCCTAGCAAAGTGCATGTATGTAACTCTCGCATTATAGCATGCATTTGATGAAACTTAAATTTGTCAATTAAATAATCGATACATTATTGTTCAAACAGAATTTTCAAGTACAAAATACAACGTGCACTCATTTTCATATCACGTTTTAGTCTTTATTTTTCATGCAGACTAATCGGTTTTATTCACCTACAAAAATTGTCGCGTCAAAACAAACGAAAAGTTTATATACCAACATGAATTTGAGTAGTGGACATAGCTGAAAGGCCATTAAATGCATTTTAATTCAAAAAAAAATTAAGACATCCGATTCCTATACAACAAAATGAGCTTAAAATTCTAGACAATTCATGATTCTCAAAACAGTCAGCAAAAAAATATTAGTCTAAGAATTTCCAGAGCTCCATTAGCTGGTCGACAATAGTCGAATATGTATAAAAATGTCTAGATCGAATCCATATGGTATTGATACCGCCCAAAAAGCAGTCGGTCGTTTTTTTCGAAACTTCAATTTTTCAAAAATTCTTGCTGTTTTTTTTTAGAAAAGCGCGAGTAAGTTAGGTGAAACCTGCAAGAATGAGTGAAAACAGCAGCAAGAAAAACAAAACAAATTCGGTAGAATTGATGAGCAGAATAATTTTCTAGATTATTTTTGAAATCAAAAAAGTCAAAAGACAGTTGGAAAAGCGCCGATCAACTGTTCAAAATTCGAGTTTTAAAGAAAATCATATCATTTAAAACTTCCTAGAAAATCAAAAAGAAATTGTGACTGACATTTGTTTTTAAAAAAAGCTTATCAACTTTGAGAATGCACTGGGTCAAAATGTACGTTTTTATTCCGCTGAGAAATATAGAAACAAAAATCCTTTATTGAAAATCATGCCAAGCGTTTTTAGAGCCATTTGCAATTGTTATGAAGAGAGTAACTTGCCTTGTTGTTGTTGTTGTTAATAAAAGGCCACTGAGGGCGCGTCTTGCGAGCTCGGCCCAAGTCTAAGAAACATTGCTACTTCGGCCGGCCACAGCCACATGTCTGTTGGGGTGAGTTAAGTCGGGTTTGTGAAGCAGTTAAAGAGATGGAGGGTAGTATGGGGAGAAAGGATAGTGGTGAGTTCGGGGGTGCGTTAGAAACTAACATTTAAAGATAGGTACTTAAGAAAGGGGAGTAACCCGATCTGAGCTGCGCTAACGTGCTTCTAGTTGAATGGAGGAGCAGCTGCTCAGTCGAGGAAATATTAGGCGGGCGTAGTAGCAGAACTTTGGGAGTGTGCACGTCGTTGATTGCATTGGTTACGTGGTTTGTTTCTATCATTTTATTGAAAAAAAGATACTTAAATTAATAAGAACGAACTTGTTCTGGTCAGTGTCGCAAAACCGGGTAAAATTATTTGGTTCTTTGAAAATTGATTTAAGGTCGGGTGTTGACTTGTCTAGGAAACGTATGATGGAAATCAACGGGATGAAAGTGAAGGTAAAATTTCGTTAAAAAAAACTAAAACTGTGGTGATAGGAGCTTCTGGTGCTGTAGCACGGAAAGTATTTCGCATTCAAAGTGTAAATGATCAATGGCGCTCATCTTCGGGGACCGTCACTACACGGAGAGCTGCATTTTGCTCGACTTGTAATTTGTTCAGGAGTTATTGCTTGCAGGGTGGGACCAAACAGGTCAAAATAATCGAGTATTATTAATCGTTAGTTGCCTTCATTTCAGCAAATGACTTTGAGATAAAAAAGGAAACTTTTACCAGCAACAGACAACAAATTTTAACCAAACCAACCTGAAAAAAAACTTCGTTCATTTGAGATGGTCGCTACGAGCCATCGTTAGGGTAGTAAATACTTAAATATCCGTACCTCATAAGGTAAAACATTCGGTACCTTAAAATATCATTCCAAAAAATGGCCCACGCCCAACACTAGCCACGACGATAGATAATGATTAATTCGGAGATCTTATAGCTAATAAAAAACAGATCATACAAATAAACAAAGCAACTGCTACTTACAAATTACAGCGGAAAAGCACGCTGCTAAATGCTCTACTGTTTTGAGCAAAATGGCCTTGCCAATCACTACCGTTTAATCTCTGTCCTAAATCAATCACTAGTTTTAAATAGCATATGAGCAGACTCCAAATGAACTTCAAAACGTTTTCAATAAAAAAAATGATTTTGACAACAATAGCCCATGTTATTTAAATAAGAAAAATCTTTTCAGACACCGAAAATATGTTTTTTTTTGTAGTTTAAAGAGTCAGCTATGAAATAGTTTAATTGAAAAACAAATTGCAGTTTTATCCATCAACCTGATCTAATTTTCAAACTTTTGATTTGGCATAAGCAAAATTTTATTTAAAATTTCTAATTCCCCGACGCGACCTACCTTCCCATCATACGACAATTGCTCTAAGATTAAACTGATAAGACACAGCATTTTAAAATTCGACTCAAATTTTTTATTTAGGAAGTCCTTTTAGATGTTGCAAGGAGACGCCTTTTTCGGGACAATTTTGTTGTATTACTGCAGTTTAATTTTTTAAGAACGTTTACGTTGAAGGCACGCTGCCCGGGGACAAAACCGTGACACCTTGACGCCAACCTTCAACTGGAAATATAATTATAAAAATGTTTTTGTAATGTTTTGTATGAAAAATATGTTCTTTGTTGATTATTTCATAATTAATGAGCGTTTCATTTTTTGAATTTTTTTTACTCCTACCAAAATTTATTGTATTAAGCGTCATGACTAGCTCACTACTGAATCCGTTAGTCTTCTCGAAGCCCAAATCGGACATTTTTCACTAATCGCGTTCCTAGAGTTAAAATAACACCCATTAAAATCAATTTGATATTGATATCCAAAATCTTTAATTGCCGCCATTTTTAAGTGGACCAAAACAATAGTCTTTTTAGTGTAGCGTCACCAAATGGAGACTCAGGAGTAAAGACAATGTAGGATTTTTGTTTTTATCGCTTAGCGTGGCTTAAACCAGTTGGTATCACCTGAGCTAGTAAAAATGCCAAAGGATATCTCTAAGCCCCATACCGTCTACTAGCCAGATTTGAATTTACAACTTGAGCGCGTTGACGTTCTCAGAGTCATCAGATCTCGAAAGAAAAGCTTTGTGTTGTTTTCACCTTTACAAAAATGCTCAAAAAATCGGCATTTCGAAATGACGGTTCTATCAAGGACTGGTGGGCTGGGTTACAGTGCCCTATTCCTGTTTAGAAATTGCATGATCGAATACCGAGCTGGTAACGACAATTGATTAGCCGTTTATTGAACAAACTGTTAATTAGCTGCCTTGATCTGGCTGTTCACAGAATTAAATTGTTGCCTGACTAACAGAGTTAAGTTGTTGCCTGATTAAAATTTTCGTGCATTATGAGGATCTTTAATAGCTGCAGCGCGAATTTACTGTGGTTTTTATTTCACTTAAAAAATCCACAGCCTTCAATAAGCTTAGCTTAGCCTATTTGTGAGCTCCATAAATATTGAAAACTAAGAATTCATTTTCAACTATTTAATAAAACTGAGAGTTTAAAGAAAGAAAAAAACAACCGAGTGAAGTCCACTAGTAGATACAGAGCCAACTGACAGTTTGACAATAGTAATCAACACAAGGAAACAGAAAAAAAAAATTTTGAAAAAACTTCAACTTAGAAAAAAAAAATGCGCTTAAAGCTCTTTGAATTTCACGAGCAATTCATGTTTGACCTCTTTTTGTAAAATTAACCCAATTTGAGAAAACTGGTTCATTCGGTAAAATTTTTTATTTCGCTGGGTAAACTGATAATTAAGTTCAATTTTCGAAATTAGAAGTCGATCACGTTTTTAGTGGCTTTTACATTTTTGATGTTCGATAGTGGAATTTACCTTCCTTGTAACAAAGCAGCGAAAAATCTGAATTGAGCGCGAACAAATTTTGAGGACTTTTTTTGAAAAAAAAACAACAAAAAAGTCACCAAGACCTACATAAGAGTACACACTACGTTCATTTAAAGTCCGCTCATCGTTACACTTCGCAAAATTTTGTATAACTTCAAATACACAAGATGGCCAAGCGGAGCTTCCCGCAATTTATGATACAACACAAAAATAGCACAGAAGCTAGCCTGGAGTAAATAAGACCTTAGCCAGACAAGGATTCGAAAATATTTGAATAGATGTCGAAAAGTATATGGAAAATGTAGCAAAAATATCAGTCAATACAGTTAAACGTTTGTCTCAAATTGACGAAAACAACTGATGAGAAAAAACACAATTATCAATAATGAAACTACCGGCACAATAAGCAGAAAACATGAGAAAAAAACAGTTTGAAAAACACAATTATAGCAGTGAAACAAAAAACTGGGTTGTTTTGAAAACTGAGTTGAAAAAAAGCCATCTTTAAAATTTCAAAAAAAAAACAGTGCCATAAAACGCTTTAATTTTGAACTACATTTTGTGTTGAGGCTTTATTGATAAAATTTAACTCAATTTGAGAAAACTGGATCAAAAGGCTGTTGTTATTCCGCTGGGAAATGTAAAAATCACACAGAGGCGAAGTTGCACTTCGCATACACAAGCAAAAATATGACCGATAACGCTACGGGGAAAAACTGAATTGATAAAACTTTTGAGTCAACAAAATTTCTTAAGTGACCCATGCCAATTATGAATTCACATTATTGCTAAGTGACGCAAGCCAATTATGACGCATAAGCATTAAGAGTCAATTTGGAAAAAAAATTACTAACTAACATGCCTCAATTTATAGAGCAGACGAATTTTAACTAGTATACGAAAATGTTCATTAAAAACATCCAACCCTGCCCAGGTTCGAACCCTAATATTTAGTTGCGAGTCTCTTTCCCTACCTCTACGCTACAGATTCATGATACCTTGAAGCTAAAGTGCTATTTGTAATATAATAGTTTGTATTAATATCCTTAGCATTGGCTGCACTTAATAGCTGGTTATTGATCAAAATGAACACTTTCAAAATTAACACATTTTCGCAACAATATTTGCGTCGCAACAATATTTGCAACTTAGGTTGGAAAAAAAGATTGTTTATACTATAACACAAGCTTGGCTTGTGTAAAAATCCACTTTCGAAACTAGAAAACGATCATGTTTTTCGTGACCTTTTCAGCTTTGCTGCTAGACAGTGATTTTTAAAATCCTTTTTGTTAATGGTGTATGAAATGAGTAGCTTCTAGGAATTGATAGGAAATGAATGAACTTAAAAAGAAATCAGAAAACAAACCGCGAAAAATCGCGTCCATTGACTCGTAATAAAAACAAAACTGTGCATGACCTTGAAAAACAAAAGCCTTTGTAAATACTAAACACGGCACCTCAAAATTTAATCATTGAAAAAAAGGTGACAAAATTTTAGCAGACAACCGATAGTCGGCCATTCAAGTTTTTCTAGAAAAATATTTCATATTCCAGATAAAAATTTAGATCCATCCGCGGGACTGGAATCGGAGACCTTAGGCACTATGCAAGCATTTCACCACACGACAAAATAGGAAGGACTTGAAATGTACTGAAAGTTATAATATAGCAAGGTAGATTTCGTACAGACTTTAACAAAAAAATTTTTATGGAAAACAATCTGGATCCCGATAACAAGTCACTTGCATCTATAAAAATCAAAAAAATACGTTTTGACAAAAAAACGCATCTCAATTAGATGCACTATTAAGTTTAATAACTCATTCTTGAAGTATTAGAAAAAAGTGAACCTTCAAAAAAGTCTGGGGGGGAAAAATAAAGTACCCGGTTGCAATGGCCTTGTTTATCGCAAAGGCAAAACAATTCAACCCAGCGCCTTTTCGTCCAAAGCATGCGCGTCACCGATATGCTAATACGCAGAAACCGTTATCGTTCCGACCATGTGAAAAATGGGGAGGAACTTTGTATTCGGGTGTTTTAGTTTTTTCCTTTTTTTATTTTCCACGCAAAATCAGCTACCATTAATAATCATCGGAGAGAATTGAGTGACACATCATATCAAATCCTTTTCAGTCGTGATTCGAGCGGCATAAAAAAATTCGAAAAATGTTCCTAGTGTCGAGAAAAACTGGTTTGAAATTTTTGATTTGCCGTTTAAATTCAAGCGAGTAAAGCGAGCAAGAACGCTTTTTTATGATTAATTTAAGCATTTTACAATAGCTTAATTTTAATTTTACTCGAGTAAAATTAGTGGAGATTTTCAATGCCATTTTGGGAATCAAAAACTTCAAAAACTCAAAACTAACCTTAAAAGAAAAACTGTTGACCGGTTGGCTTACATTACTATTACTGTCGATTATGCCTAAATTATAGTTTTATATCAGATCTTTTTATCACACCACTAAGAAAAAAACTGCATTAATTCGAAAAAAAAAGATTGTAGATTTTTAACACAGAGGCGAAATTGCACCTCGCACACACAAGCAAAAATATGACCGATAACGCTACGGGGAAAAACTGAATTGATAAAACTTTTGAGTCAACAAAATTTCTTAAGTGACCCATGCCAATTATGAATTCACATTATTGCTAAGTGACGCAAGCCAATTATGACGCATAAGCATTAAGAGTCAATTTGGAAAAAAAATTACTAACTAACATGCCTCAATTTATAGAGCAGACGAATTTTAACTAGTATACGAAAATGTTCATTAAAAACATCCAACCCTGCCCAGGTTCGAACCCTAATATTTAGTTGCGGGTCTCTTTCCCTACCTCTACGCTACAGATTCATGATACCTTGAAGCTAAAGTGCTATTTGTAATATAATAGTTTGTATTAATATCCTTAGCATTGGCTGCACTTAATAGCTGGTTATTGATCAAAATGAACACTTTCAAAATTAACACATTTTCGCAACAATATTTGCGTCGCAACAATATTTGCAACTTAGGTTGGAAAAAAAGATTGTTTATACTATAACACAAGCTTGGCTTGTGTAAAAATCCACTTTCGAAACTAGAAAACGATCATGTTTTTCGTGACCTTTTCAGCTTTGCTGCTAGACAGTGATTTTTAAAATCCTTTTTGTTAATGGTGTATGAAATGAGTAGCTTCTAGGAATTGATAGGAAATGAATGAACTTAAAAAGAAATCAGAAAACAAACCGCGAAAAATCGCGTCCATTGACTCGTAATAAAAACAAAACTGTGCATGACCTTGAAAAACAAAAGCCTTTGTAAATACTAAACACGGCACCTCAAAATTTAATCATTGAAAAAAAAGGTGACAAAATTTTAGCAGACAACAACCGATAGTCGGCCATTCAAGTTTTTCTAGAAAAATATTTCATATTCCAGATAAAAATTTAGATCCATCCGCGGGACTGGAATCGGAGACCTTAGGCACTATGCAAGTATTTTACCACACGACAAAATAGGAAGGACTTGAAATGTACTGAAAGTTATAATATAGCAAGGTAGATTTCGTACAGACTTAAACAAAAAATTTTTTATGGAAAACAATCTGGATCCCGATAACAAGTCACTTGCATCTATAAATATCAAAAAAATACGTTTTGACAAAAAAACGCATCTCAATTAGATGCACTATTAAGTTTAATAACTCATTCTTGGAGTATTAGAAAAAATTGAACCTTCAAAAAAGTCTGCGGGGGAAAAATATAGTACCCGGTTGCAATGGCCTTGTTTATCGCAAAGGCAAAACAATTCAACCCAGCGCCTTTTCGTCCAAAGCATGCGCGTCACCGATGTGCTAATACGCAGAAACCGTTATCGTTCCGACCATGTGAAAAATGGGGAGGAACTTTGTATTCGGGTGTTTTAGTTTTTTCCTTTTTTTATTTTCCACGCAAAATCAGCTACCATTAATAATCATCGGAGAGAATTGAGTGACACATCATATCAAATCCTTTTCAGTCGTGATTCGAGCGGCATAAAAAAATTCGAAAAATGTTCCTAGTGTCGAGAAAAATTGGTTTGAAATTTTTGATTTGCCGTTTAAATTCAAGCGAGTAAAGCGAGCGAGAACGCTTTTTTATGATTAATTTAAGCATTTTACAATAGCTTAATTTTAATTTTAATCGAGTAAAATTAGTGGAGATTTTCAATGCCATTTTGGGAATCAAAAACTTCAAAAACTCAAAAATAACCTTAAAAGAAAAACTGTTGTCCTGTTGGCTTACATTACTATTACTGTCGATTATGCCTAAATTATAGTTTTATATCAGATCTTTTTATCACACCACTAAGAAAAAAAATGCATTAATTCGAAAAAAAAAAGATTGTAGATTTTTAACACAGAGGCGAAATTGCACCTCGCACACACAAGCAAAAACATGACCGACAACGCTACTGTGAAAAACTGAATGAGTAAAACTTTGAGTCTACAAAATTTCTGAAGTGACGCACGCCAATTATAAGTCTGGATAAATGCTAAGTGACGCAAGCCAATTATGACGCATTAGCAGTACCAGTCAATTTGAAAAGAAATTTACCAAATAACATGCCTCAATTTATAGAGCGGACGCATTTTAACTAGTATACGAAGAAGTTCATTAAAAACATGCGACCCTGCTGAGGTTCGAACCCTCTTATTTTGCTGCTGTTCTCCTTCCCTACATCTACGCTACAGAACCATAACACTTTGAAGCTAAAGTGCTATTGGTAATACAATAGTGTGTTTTAATATCCTTAGCATTTGCTGTACCTAATCGCTGGCTATTGATCTTATGCAGATACTGCAAAAAAAGAGCACTTTCAAAATGAGCAGTTAATATTTGCGACTTAGATTGGAAAAAAGAGAGTTCGGAAAAAAAGAGAGTTCGGAGTTTGCACATTAACCGGCTATCCTTGTTGTATTTCATTTTCATAGGAAGCAGGTAACATCCCAGGCTTGAACTTAGTTGGCAACGTTGTCTACGGGGAGAAAGTCTAACACCTAATTTCAACACCCTTTCTAACCGCAGGGGATATTATAAGATTGGATATGAATTTTTTTTAAACCAAATGTATCTATTACCTGTTTATGGCAATATTAAAGACGATTTCCAGCTTGAAACCTAAAAGGTCAAATATTATTCAAATTTTGATCATCTGCATCTTTTCCCTTACCAGTCCTTGGAAGTAGTCTTGGTGCGTGAATGAACTGATGTCTGCGCCCGATATCTCCGACAACAGAATGTCCACCAGATTGTCACTGCGCTTCTCCGAAGATATCTCCTTCCACCGCTTCGCACCACCCGATATGTAGTCTCCACACTTGTCCCATCTCGGTCTAAACGTAGAGGCGATCAACAAACCAAAAATAGTTCAATTATATCAATACTTTTTATTTTATAAGATCGTTTTCAAATCAGAAATTGTTCAAAGTACTGTCAATTCAGGGTTGGAGTAGATTTTCAAATCCTCGAATATATGCATATTTTACTATTCAGTTATTTTGCTGGAAAAAGGGTTTGTTATTTCATTAAATAGTTTTAAAAAAATTCGTTCGAAATTCCTCCCAGGACCATCAAATCTGTAGAAGACGAGCATAATTTTGTGAAATTTGAGATCTCTATAGCACAACTAGATTCTACAACTTGAATTTCACGGACTACTTAAAAGAGTTGTACCTGAACAGAAAGATACGTTTAGCTTTACATATGAACCAAACATAACTTCTATTAAGCATTCAAAATTGACATCATTCTCTGAAATTAGTTCAAGGCTTCAAATTCTACACTCGGAGCGAATAAGATCACTTACTGCAGAAAGTAGAGAGCAATAAAACTGCAAACGCAATTGCATTTTATATTTAAAGAATATAGCTATAATGCAAGAAAATCTTGCCGCGCCCAGTCCCTAATTTCTCCCACTGCCCCCATTTGATTTTGCCACGACTGAAGAACTGCCCCCCCCCCCGCTCAACTAGAAGCACGTTAGCGCAGCTCAGATACGCTTACGTTTACTCTCCGTTATTAAATGTCTATCTAAATAGAACAGACCCTAATGTCACCCCGAACTGTCCCCACTGTCCATCCCCCCATGCTACCCTCCATCTTTTAACTACCTCACAAACCGGACAGAGCTCAACACAATAGACCAGTGGCTCTGGCCAGCCGTTTTAGCTAGGTTTTTTAGACTCGGGCCAAATTCGCATGCTGCGCTTTACAGCCAAGGCCCATGCCTACAAAACTCAAAATAGTCAAACTGAAACATTCAACAACTTAGAAAGAGAGTTTTATCCCCCCTCCTAAATCTACTTAACTACGCGTAGGTTGACGTCATCAGCGAACACATTGGTTGTTTCTTTTCAAATGCGAAAAACTGCCACTTGCGACGAGCTTATTATTTCTTCATCTGATTTTTAAAAAACTTACAATACAGAAACGAAGCTGCACGTCACAGCTAAAATAAAAGCAAAAAGTAGCTCTATAACCGAAATAAGGAAAAATTCAAAATAAGCCTTGAAAAACAAAACTTAAGCTATGTGCCGGTTTCGAACTGCAGACCTGAAATTTAAGGTCGCTTATCAATTATTACGGTCGTTGATTAGTTATCTAAAACTACTCTCGCTAGCCTGCTTTTGTAATTAAACAAAGTTAGCCGGTTTGATGAGCACGAAGCTCGCGATAACATCATCACGGTCAATTTTCGTCATCGCGAAGAATAAAATTATAACAAAGTGGAGAAGCTGAGCTTCGCTCCACTTGATATACAACAATTATAGAATGAAAGCACCATGACGCTCTAAAAAAAACTTTAAATGATGTTACAATTAAAGGAGCTGGAAAAAAAATCACAAATTTTTTATGATTTCGAAGAGATGCTTATTGGGTTGATTTTGAGTATTCAAAAAATTGGCACCAGAATTATCAATCTCAAAAACTACCGGAAATTTTTAGATAAAAAATTAGGTAAAGAGTCGACAAAATTTAGCCGACAGCCGATAAGCTGAAACTCAACAATATTTTCAGGTGAGATATTTTGAAAAAATGCATAAAACGTCCAAGTTGGATCCACGATGGCTACGTAAGTAGCGTATGCAAAATGGACTAGATAATTCGATAACGAAACATACATAACGTAAGTTGAAATCTATGAAGCCGAGAAATCATAAGCAGAAAACTAATATCGAAATCCAATTATCCATACAATGGTTTGAGTTCGAGATACAGCATGTAACTGTAGTAACAAGTTATCAGTAGTTAATTTTGAATTTTCATGAAATTGAGCATGTCAGCTGCATAATAAATGCTTCAACTGATTTTGTTCAACAAGTTGTTAACCCGAAAAAGTCAATATTCCGATTTGATAACGGTTACTAATCGAAAGCGTAAAAACATTTAAAAAATGTTATCCTTTTTTTGCATATTCTTGTCGCAATGTTTGACGGGAATCAGGGTGCGAGGCGTTCAAATTATCTACCCGAAAAACCAATAATAATTTCCTCTATGAAAATCCTTTGCTTTGATTACTTAGAGCAAATTTCATCCACTCTTTACTCTTCAGTCTAAATTAGTCTTCTAAATGTCAAAGCTTCCAAATGCGTTTCCACGACACATAAAATAGTGTAATAAAATAGTGTAAATTTTTATAGCAGCTTGAATTGTGACTGAACTAATCACTCAACTTTTAGCCCAAGCATTACTTAAAGAGCGATATGTGGCTTTTTATTGTTTACGATGTTTGTTGTTTTTTCTTTCAGTTGTTCTGATGATGTCTTAATTGACGAAAACGTTCAAGCATTGATACTTGTTTTTTTCTCGTGTAAAGAGCGATACTGTCCGCTTAATGTCCTAGAAACTTTAATGGTCTTCAAGTGAGATAACAATTTGCGCTTATCTACATATAAAGTATGAGTAATAGGCCGAATTCAAATATTAATTTATTCAAATAACTTCCTATGACGTTTCATTGTTTCGGTTACCTAATTTTCAGTGACGAGGACCTGAATCCACAATCTTTCTCACCCAACGGCCAGGGTAAGGATGTTAACTTACTCTATTTGCAAACTTTCTGCCAATCATAATCGATAATTTTACACCCAACGCTATGTAAATTTAACCCGAATTATACAAATTATCTTCACTTGACAAACTTTAATGGGGCGTGAACCGAATGTAAGCTTGATACGGGTAAACTGACCTCGGAGTGGATGACCTTTTGAGGGTCTCCAATTCAGTGTAGTAGCTGTCTCTCTGCTGCACGACTTGCGCATACACTTTGTTCAGCGCTTCCAACTCAGTCGTGAACTTCTCATTCTCCTCCTCCTTCGCCTTCATCTTACTCTTGTAATTCTGTCAATAAAACAACAAAAAAATCAATCGTTGATAATGAGCTAACATTAGAGAAGCCTGGTTACTGGTGCAAACAAAAAATTAACCATAGCCAACAGACAGTTGGAAAAGAGTCAATGAACGCAAGTAATCAAAAATTGATTTGTTTTTTTTTAAATTTACTTATTTAGACTTTTCCTGAAAAAAAAAACGAAAAAAAATCACAACCTATATAAGAGTCTGAACTAAGCTCATCGACTCTTAATAAAAATCCTAATAATAATAATAGAAACATTGTGACCAAAAGTTGAAACACTCGTAGTCCATGATTCATGTATGAAACTTTTTATTTATAAACAACTTGAACGTTGCTTTGAGATTGAGACCAAAGCAGCCGCCTTAAAACTCCTGATTTAACGATTTAATAATACTTAATTTGCAATACTTAATATCACAGAAAAAGGGTTAACGTGAGAATCTAAGCAACACTTACTTCGAAGTCCGTCTCTAGCTGTTCGTAGTGTCTTCTTGGGACCACATTGGCATAGTCGGCAAGTGTTTCATTCAACTTGGCCGTCAGCTGTTCATTTGCTTCTCGACATTTCCTGAACACAAAAATCAATGCCACTCACAAAACAGTCGAAACTAACCACTTTACAAGGGGGTGGATTTAGGATTCTTTCGAGAAGGGACCTTCTTTAGACTGACCATATGAATTTTCAGAGCTCTCCTGAAACACTTAAAGGCCCCACTTAGGCTAGAAATTTAAACAATTGAAGCTAAAAGCGGTTTTTGAGCACTTTTGGAAAGCTTTGACGAAGAAACGTCATTTTTTCTTGACTTTCATTTCCCCGTTAAAATTAATACATAAGACGCCTTAAGAGAAAATTTTGGGTTACACGCTCAAAACTTCTAAAATAAGAAGTTTTGGAGAACATTCTAGAAGCATTAAAAGATATTTTTTCAAACAAAACAGAATTAAGATTCCTATTTCGACAAAGCAATCTAAGCTTCGAAGCTGTAGCTTTAATTAGACGCAAGACAAACTAAGATTAATTTCTTTGATAGATTAGCATAAATAATATCTTTAACATCAGTTATTTAAAAAAACCGTCAAACAACGGTTGAGCAGACTAATTATATACAGCAATATTAAAAAGAAAATCTTGATCACTTAAAAATTATAATAAAAATCAATTGTTTCAGGCAGAAAAATTCAAAAAGTTCACAAAATGACACGTAAGTAAATTTACCACTGCCTGGGAGATCAACATTGGATCTACAGATCCATTTTCAGGTGTCTCTGATCACTTACTAACCTGAGGGCTATTTTGAGAATGATTGGGTCATCCTGCTGTTCTGGCTCCTTCTCCTGGGTCTCGTTTCCCGCCTCCCCATCTCCCGCCACACTTCCCCCGGCCCCAGAAACACTCTGCTCCTAAAATCAAAACTCAACTCTAACGCAGAGACGAGGAGTCGCTTCGCATCGTTTGCGATACAGAAATCAATGAAACTTTCAAAACAAAAACGAAACAAGGATAGGCGGTGGCTGTGTAATAGCACAGAAAGTTCCTACCACAATAAAATCAAATAACAAACAGTTTCTTTTTTTTTCAAATTGTGTCTTTCGTGTCGTTTACTCTTGGTGTGTTTCTGCACTAAAGCTGAGAAGTTAGGCATATTCGATAGTATCTATAAATTAGGTATAATCGACAACAGTCTTTCTCAAAATGACTAGAGAAAATAATAAATCAGAACACATTTTTGATTTCGAAAAAAAACGAAGACGGCACTAAAAAAAACTTCGTTAACTAACTTTACTGGAGTAAAACACAGCTTCATCTAAAATCTACTATTTTGACTATTATAAGCCTATTAAACGACCTTTTACTTGCTCGCTTAATTTCAAACTAGTTTTTCTCGACACGGGGACAATTTTTTGAACGTTTTCTAAAGTAGTTCGAATGACGACTGAAAGAGTTTTAATATGATATATTACTCGATCCATTTTGATTATTAGTCGTGTAACGTGATTTTGCCTGAAGACCAAATCAAACACAGAGGTGAAGTTTCGCTTCGCAAACAATAGCGAGAACACGACCAAAAAGCAGCACTAGACAGTGCAATAAGAAAAAATAGAAAGCCTCGAATTGATAACCTACTTTAATATAGAGATTTAGAGTCTCACACACTAACCACTCAGCCAAGCACGCTTAACCGTCGACAAACACTAGTCACGAACAAAGCAGCTACATATGCTAAGAAATGGCCAATGCTATTCAGCAAAAGTGGCACCAAATACATATAGACACAATTTTGCAAGTAACAATTTTGAATATAACAAACTCAAGTCATCCACACTAACTTTACTTGCAACAAATCGGAAAGCATCATAAAACCACATTATGTATAAATTATGCATTTCAAAAAATTGTGAGATATATTGAGTTCGAAATTTCTGAAATCGAGTTTTTGCAGAGGCGAAGCTGCGCTTCGCAAACAATTGCGAGAACACGACCAAAAAGCAGCTCTATTAAGTGATGAAAGAAAAAAAAGAAACAAGACTCGAATTTGCAAAAACTCGAGGCTTAGCAAAAACTCAAATTAGGAAAAATCTGCGTACTAGCAAATTTGAGTCTCACGCACTAACAATTCAGCCACGGATTCTTAAAATCCCAAAAACTAGCCACCAATAATGCAGCTACAAATGCTAATAAGTTGCCAATTCGATGCAGCAAAAGTAGCATCAAATACAATCGCAAATCATAAAAGCAAATTATGTTAAATTATGCATTTCAAAAAATTGCGAGATATATTGAGTTAGAAAATTTCTGAAATTGAGATTTTATTATTGTTATGTTGTTTGAAACATATACCTTTGTTCGGTTCACTTGATGAATTAAAAATGCATCAACTGTGTAAACTTTTAACTATTCGAATGTCAAAGCAAATGTTGTCAATAAGCAGTAAAGGTGCAACTAAATTTCAAAGGTGCACAAATATATTATTGCCAAAATCAATGCAGCGAATTCGACGCAGCAAATATTGTTGCTTTAAGACGCAACAATAATTGTGACTTAACCGCAACAAAAGTCACATCAACATTTGCGACGTAGGTTGGAAAAAAAGAAATTTCTTACTATAACACGTTGCTTCGCAAGTGTAATTATTGTTAAGTTGTTTGAAACAAAACGCTTTTCGATTCATTTGATGAATTTAAAATGGATAAGCTGTGTAAATTTAATACTATTCGAATGTAAAAGCACATGCTATCAAAAATCTGTAAAGGTGCCCCAAAAGTGGCACCAATATTTGCAACTTAGGTTGGAAAAAAATAAGGTTCTTAATAAAACACTAAGCAGACGCTAGTGTGTGTAAATGAAAACTAAAACACGTCTGAAGACAAAGCTCCTCCCCATTTTCAAAGGTCGGAACAAAAACATTTTATGAGTTTTATTCCAATGGGAAATCTGAAATTTACAATATATTTACACCTTTCGCAATTAGAATTCGATGATGTTATTGTTCCGACTTTCGATACGAAAGTAACGGAATATTTGTGCTCGGGGTGGGTTTTTTTTTCTTCAGACAAATTTCGACTTTTTAACTAGTCATTTTTGACGGAATTTTTTTTGTATCATTCGAATGATATTGTTGTCCTGAGCTCAAATTTGAAACGATATTTCACCTGTGATCATTTTTCGTAAAGTTACGGGGGTTTAAAGATTGCCATTTTGGCCAATTTGGGACAATTAACGCGCGATATATTTCGCGCTATGAACGCGTAAGCGGAGAGTTAATCCTTCTTAGAAATCGTTCCAAATTGGTTAAAAGAAGCTTATTTGCCATAAATGGTTTGTTACAAGGAGCGAAATCTATCCTTTTGTACTTTATATGGCGCGTGTCGGGATGATTTTTATAAAAAAATTCAAATTTTAGAAGAAAAAAATTTTCATTTTGTTTCATTTCATTGAATTTTTTAATGTGATTACTGCTCCATAAACCTTAAAAGGCAGTCGGAACATTCGCCCTGATATAAGCAGTCTTGTTTGACCTATACAATTTCACTATTTAACAGTGGAATTTGCTTTCCTTTTAGTAGACTTTTCCTGAAAAACAAACAAAAAATTTATATCTATATCTAAAAAAAACCACGATCTATATAAGAGTCTTCACTACGTTCATAGTCTTTTAAAAAAGGCGAGTTAAACAACGCGCAATATGTTTGCTTGATCATTAAATAGAGTGTAAAAAACAGCTGAAGAATGAACCAACCGAAAATACGAGTATATAACCCAAAAAATTAAGTCAAATGGATGAAATTTGCATGACTTTCATAATCGTTGCATAACTATTATAAAACAATTACATTTTTTCGACTAGCGCATATGGTAGCTGGTTTATACTTCGGCTGGTTTATGTACCACCATTAAATATACGTAGCAAATGAAGTTAGTGTTAAAAAATTAGGATACCACTCGTAGTTATATAGGAGTGTACTTAAGCTAAGAATAGATTAAGATTACGGATGATTAAGATTCCTACTAAAACAGTAGGCTTTTATTTAATACTAAATAAAAGACGGTGATGCTAACTAAAGTAAGAGAGGTTTAAAAGATTGAATTGGTTTCGGTTTTGTTTGTTACGTATCATAAAAGATAGTGTCCAATTCTGAGTCTACCAAAAGCCGATGCGCTTTTGGCAGGTGTATAAATTAACAACTTAAAGGTCAACGATCAGTAAAGATCAGAGGTTAAATGAACAAACAATAATACTTTTACATTCCCCGCAAAATTTATTTATAATCTATCCCTTTCGCCTCACAAGAGGAGAACAAAACAAAAGTAAATAAGCGCTAGAATGAATGACTAAGTAGGCGCATTGTCTAGGGCCCCCGATAGTGGATCTAGAACAGTAGGAACACAGACTTGGTAAAGCACCGAGGACCAAGAAAGTGTATTGATACTAAGTAAATTTACACGGTTGTCAGGTCGAAAGGGCGGGTGTACGGTACGGGAAAGACCGATGAACGGACCCGGTGGGCCGGGAAGCATGTTCATCCGCAATAACAAAAATTCAAAAACAAACCACCTTAGATCGAATAGTATGTTCTCGTCGGGTGAAATAAATATAGACTGGTTACTATGGGCGAGCAAGAAACTGGAATAGCACCAGGGTAAATTGAGCAGTAAGGTAAGCAGCGAGTTATCCTTAGAATAGTCAAAATAAGTGGGTAATACTAGGATGGATAAATCTAATGGTTATCCGGTGGTAGCGCCCAATGGGTGAAAAGAATTTTACCGACATTTTGGCGAAATTATATGGCTAAAGCAAGGTTACAAGTGTGACCAATCAACTTATTAGCTTAATATGACAGCACTGGAAGTTTGTATGACTCTATAGCAATGGAATGTTAATAGCATTCGGCAATACACAAGATACTAAAGATACTAAAAGTTTTGTAAAGAAGTTTTTGAGAGTTCAAGAATGTTTATGATAACATCTGGATTGGAGCTCCTCCATCTAATTAGTTTCCCGATTTGCTGCCTTGTTTATTGTCCATCTCCTTAACTCCTCCAGCGTCATTGGCCGTCCAAGGAGTTCTATCGCCGAAATGATAGAAGAGGTGTTCAGCCAGTCTGGGTCAGGTACAATGGGGACAAATGTAGAAGTTGAGGTTTCATAAGATAGGCCCGATGGGTTGAATTTCGTGGAACAGACATCGGGACTAAATTTGACTTTCTTTTCGGGAGTCTTTTGATCATCTGTTTTCGAGGGCTTCGGGTCACTTGGGTACGCATAGTTTTCTTCCCGCAAGTGAACTATAGTAGGACGCGATGATGAAGGTGGTGTTAATGTTGTCAGGTCTACTAGGTCGACATGATGGCTTTCCATTTCTATGGTAGTTGCTTCTAACGTTGAACATGCTGGGACTAAACTAGGTGAACCAAATTCTGGAGCATCACGATCTTCATCAGTTAAATCAACTACACTAGTGAACACTCTCTCACCTAGCATCTTGGGAGGCTGCCTAGTTCGCATCGGTCTGGTGTTCTGACGTGTATAAATTTCTGACAATTTTTTCGCGGGTGGTGATTTCATTGGTGATGACGCCTTTCTTTTAGCGGTACCGGACAATTTCTGTGTTTTCGTGGTACGGTCAGGGTGTATTTGTTTGGATTCCGTCCCCGCCATGGCGATTGGTTCTTCAGCAGACTTGGAAAACTCTCCTCCGGGATTCTCTGGGAGAAACGGCATTTCTATACACGCTTTATTGGCCTCCTCCATAGTGTCCAAGTGAATCAACTGTGGGATCGCTTGTGAGTCTCTTTCATTATCGCCAGAATCTAAGTCGATCAAAGGAATCGGATCTAAATCGACCTTCTGATCAACGTGGTCTGATATTTCTAGTTTAGGATCTGTTCGTTCGGAGATTAG